TATATATATATATATATATAAATGCACATCCCAACCTACGCAAATAATATTTAAATAGCGAAACAGTCTCCTTTATATATAATACAAAATGAAACTATAACAAAAATTTGCCAAGATATATATAAATTTCTCAATTTTCGTAATTTGGTTTTGTAATATCTTGCTCACTTGTAAAAAATCTATCTGCTAGTGATACCAGTAAATTTGTCAAAATCCAGGGTATTAAATGTGTCAACAAGATCTAAGGGGCGATTCTTTAAGAGGGCTATATAGCAAATAGGCAACCAGCAATACATTTTTATAGATTTTATTGCAGTTTGTTTAAATATGAATTAATGCACAAATAACAGACTTTCCTCCATTCTAACACAGATTTTAAAATGGAGTGAGCTTGAAACTCAAAATACTTTTTGTTGTAAAGAAATTTGTCGCTTTTGAACAAGCGGTATCGTAAATTACAAATTTCTTTACACTAAAAAGTAATTTGAGATTCAAATTAAATCCATTTTATAGAAAATCAGCGCCAAAATGGGGGAAACTGTTATTTGTGCATTAATTCATTTAGACAAACTGTGTAATAAGATCTATAAAAATGTATTGCTGGTTGCCTATTTGCTATAGATCCCTCTTCAGTCAAAAAGTTTATATAACAAAATCGGGTTACTTAAAATATCTCTAAAGTCGTTTGATACAGAAGAAACTTAAGCTAATCTAATTACCAAGAGGCACTCTCACTGCAACTTCTGGTGGTGTTTCCAAAGATATATTTAATTTTATTTAAAAAAATAAGCCATTTTTGATTTATTGCTTTTTTATCAATTTTCATTGCTGTTACCAAATATTCCTCAAAATAATTTCAGAATTACTTATTTCCAAAAAAAAATTCATGCGATTTTTTTTTGGTAAGAATACCATCTCACAAGTCCGAAAAAATTAATGGTGTGAAATTTTGCCTTTTTATTAGACGCCAATTAGTTTTTTGAAAAAAAATCTGACAACTTTTTTTGTGAAACGATTAGTTCTAAAGTTATTTTAAAAATAAATAAGTGATTGGTAATTTTTTCAATAAAATGAATCTGTTTTTCTTCAAAACACAAAGTGTTAGTAGTGACAAATATTCAGTGGCGTCAAATTTCTAAGGTTTTTAGTGAAAGTAACTCCTGGTATCTCCGGCACCGTAACATCTGAATTAGTGAATTTTTACCATTAATTAGACAAATAATTACCCTAAGTTTCGCCATTTTATACGTCTTCAGAGACATTTTAGAAAAGGTGATTTTTTTTATAAATGTCAACACCTTGTATCTCGAAAACTATCGATTTGTGGACACATTTTTTGTCTTTTTTCACTTAAAATCACCTTAAAGTTTGTCGATGTACCCAGTGTATTCATCTAAACAATAAAAAATTATCAAAAAAGCCCCTTTAGTCAATGTCAGAAGGGCACAACTGCCTTTCGCCTTCATTTAAAAATATCATCATGGCCTTGTAGAGCAAATACACCCCGAACATTTTCTTTTGCTTCTGAGGCCATGCGGCAGCAATTCCATAATAGTCCCCGCATTTAGCATTGGTAAGGTTTTCAATCTTCAAGGCAGATATCATGGCCGCCTCCCTGGTATAGGCTTCAACTGGTATAATATTTTGAAAAACGTGTAAACAGATAACCCCACCGTTGCTTCTCCATATGTCTATTATACTTTGTATCTTCTTGTTCCCAGAGGAAAATTGTCTTTTGTTCCAGAAATTTACAGCTTCGTACAAATGTGAGTAAGGCCTGGATCTTTTCCCTTTGCCGACATAGAAGACGGAAGACAAAAAAGTTTCCCAAACCTCTTTGGGCTTGAGCGATTCTGCCCTGCCTGGTAAGTTGTTAGTTAATCTAGGATCCAGCAGCAAATAGGTGAATGACGATTTGTTTATTCCTTCCCTCCATTTCCTTGAAGGGTCAGGATTGCAGAACTGTTTAGCCACTACCTCTTCTAGTGATTTGTATAATGCTAAATCATTGCACCAACTTGAATCGCGGAGGGTTTTTTCAAGCTCCACTGAATATACTGAAAAAAAATAATTATGATTATTGTGCACACTTTCAAATTTACGTACAACTAACATTTTTTGGACAAAAAACACCTGACACATTTGACCATTGACAGATAAAAATAAAAAAATGTCACAGTCTTCCTTGTAAACTCATAAGGTAGGATTAAAAATATATATAAATTTTCTTATTTATTGGTGATTTGTTAAAAGTATATTAGTGGAGTAAAATAAGATTTTGACTTTGGAAAAAGTAGCAGATCGGGTAACTTTTGAAGACACACTTGTGAGAATATTAGGAACCACATATAAAAAGTAGAGTGTACGCTTGATTATTTATTTAACAAATTAGTTGCAAAATTCCATTGTTTATTGTATATTTTAACAAATTCATTTTTTTTTTACTTATTTGGGTCATTGGAAGGACGGGGCATTTTTCCTTGAAAATTTTTTTTAAGTTTTTTTTTTAAATTGCTTTTGGTTTTTATTTTTTTTTTTAAATCATACGAAAATGTAAAGCATCGGCACTTGCGCACAGGACTCGAGGAGTGTGCGGCCTCGCACGCTATCCACTAAATTTGTTATCACTTTTGATCTATTTGATCAAATTAAGTCCACAAAAATTTAAATGAAATAGGAATCTTGTAGCTAACAAGTTATTATGATTTTATAATCAAAAAAAAAATTTACAGGAATAGAAAATTAATTAAAGATCTGCCATTTTTTTAATTTTTAAGATAAAAATCTAAAACTTTCAGAGATTACTCATAAAATAGCATTTAAAACAGTGACTAATACAAAAAAAAAAATTAAAATTTTAAGTCGAAAAATACAACGCTCGAAATATTCGATAATTTTTAAAAAAGAGAAATTTGATTTTTTAGGTCACATTTCAAAGTCCAATAACTTTACAGTAAAGCTCGGTTATAATGTACCGGTGGGGACATAAAAAATCGGTACGTTATATCAGAAGTACGTTTTAAAAAATTTAAGAAAAGTTTTATTAATTCTTAATAAAAATACAAACATACATATCTTTAACAAACGCAGCAATAGAACAACAGTACATATATGTAATTTGTTCTTAAAACTTAAATGCAAAACTAAAAATACCCTTTTTATTTGCACCACAAAATAGGTATGTAGGTATGTATAATAAAATATCTAAAACTACTTTCCAAAAAAGTGTTATATGAGTTTATTTTTCGGGATTTATAAAGATCTGTTGCCCTAAATATATTTATATTTCCAGCGATGCCCTTAAAATACGATCTTCAGTATTAATTTTACTTTCTAAAAATCGTTTTACATTTTTTTATTCCTCTAATTGCGTCATCAAATGTTGCGGGCGTTTCTTCTTCCGGTCCAATACTTTATGTTTGTTTTTCAATATCATGGACACTGTTGTTTTTTTCACACATCTAGATTTGCAGATGTCAACTTGTTTAACACCTCTTTCTATTTCCTGAATTACAGACATTTTTTCATCTATGTATTGTTAAAGCCTTCCGAGCCATTTTACTAGGACCAGCTTGGGTTGAATCATCCATACCTAACAGTTTTCAAAAATTCGCTTACACTTAGATACCCACTGTACGATGTCAACAAGAAAACTGAATAAAGAATGGTTAAAAGTTAAAAAAACTTTAAACAACTGCATTGTATCAACATGTGATGGGAGCAAAAATCATCTTGGTCAAAGCGGCTGCCTTTAATTTAGATGTCGCACCGTGCTACACATGCCCAGAGCTTTTCCTGTACTTGCCGAAATAAATTTGTGTAAAAAGTACGTTGTAATGAACTTTTTAGACGCTGGGACCAGGTATTTTGGTACTTTAATCAGAAGTACGTACTAACGGAGTACGTTTTAACAAAATAATTAACCATTGAAGGCCTTATAATAATGCCGGGACTTGTTTATTCGGTACGTTATAACCATAAGTTCGTAATAAGCGTGTACGTTGTAACCAAGCTTTACTGTACTTCAAAATATGATGTTACAATTTTACAGGAGCATTTATTGAAGCCTGAAAACTGTACTTTAAGATGATCCATTTTGTTTAATTTAAAACGTTGAATTTATAATAAAATTTAAAGAAAAACAAAAAATTTTTTTTGTTCTGAAACAATGAAATTTGTGTTAAATACACTTTAATTAAGTTAAAAAAAAAATTTTCTTGTTTAACCAATATATTGTCAAACTATGATCTTAAAAAAAGTATAATCAATGAAAAAAAAATTTTTGTTACTATACAGGGTGGGCCACCAGTAACGCCTCGGTCGCTAGTGACCAAACGGCAAAGGTTACAGAAACCTGTTTAGGTGGGTATGTGTAGGTTGATTACGGCTATATTTTAAAAATATTTTGAGATATACAGGGTGTCCAGGAAAANGAATGGTTAAAAGGTAAAAAAACTTTAAACAACTGCATTGTATCAACATGTGATGGGAGCAAAAATCATCTTGGTCAAAGCGGCTGCCTTTAATTTAGATGTCGCACCGTGCTACACATGCCCAGAGCTTTTCCTGTACTTGCCGAAATAAATTTGTGTAAAAAGTACGTTGTAATGAACTTTTTAGACGCTGGGACCAGGTATTTTGGTACTTTAATCAGAAGTACGTACTAACGGAGTACGTTTTAACAAAATAATTAACCATTGAAGGCCTTATAATAATGCCGGGACTTGTTTATTCGGTACGTTATAACCATAAGTTCGTAATAAGCGTGTACGTTGTAACCAAGCTTTACTGTAGTTCAAAATATGATGTTACAATTTTACAGGAGCATTTATTGAAGCCTGAAAACTGTACTTTAAGATGATCCATTTTGTTTAATTTAAAACGTTGAATTTATAATAAAATTTAAAGAAAAACAAAAAATTTTTTTTGTTCTGAAACAATGAAATTTGTGTTAAATACACTTTAATTAAGTTAAAAAAAAATTTTCTTGTTTAACCAATATATTGTCAAACTATGATCTTAAAAAAAGTATAATCAATGGAAAAAAAATTTTTGTTACTATATTATTGTACAAAATACGAAAAAATACGGTTTTTCAATAAATTGTCGCGAGATTCAGTTTTACCTATATTTTTTCATGATGAAATTATGTAGTAGAAGTTTATATGGTAATGTAATTCATTCTCGTGATTCAAGAATTATATTTTTGAATATTAGAAAGAGATAGAGAACATCTGCTCAGTGAATGGAGCTCACCTGGCACGAGAGGATTCGGGTATGACTTCAACTTTCATGACTCAAGATCCAGCACCAAGTGAACTTCTCAAAATGATTTTTTGCAGATGCAAAGTAGACCTTTGCACCATAGCATGCTTTAATTACTGTTTCAGAACTGATTGTCCCAATTGCCAAGCATTTTTCAAAGAAGAACGAGAATCAGATCAATTGCCAGAAGTTATAATGATTCAAGAGATGAATATTGTTATTTTTTTATATTTCTATTTTTAATATACAAATATTTTTTCATATTTAATAAACTTGTTAATTAAGAATCCCATATATTGAATTTTTGCAGAACCCTAAACATCATACCCAAATTTATTTAAAATTTAAGGATTTGATTTCATTTTATATTTGTTCAATGATCTGAAAAATCTTAAAAATGATATAATATGAGTGAAATTGCTTTGAAAATGTAATTTTTAAATAATTGTTTAAAAAAAGTCGGCCATATTGGATCAACCATTTTGAATTTTTATTTTTTAACATTATATTCTTATTCAGTGACCTTGCAAACCCCTATAGCATCAATTTGATTAAAATTGGTTTGAAATTTTTTGATTTATTTAAAATAATCTTTGAAAAATCATTTTTAATATAAGTTTATAAGTTTTTTCTATAAGCCATTTCAAGGAGATTGCAAAAGATTTTATGAAAATCCAAGGCTCTGCTAATTATTCCAAAATAATGTATATTTTTAAGATACCTTTACTCCACTATATGACAAATTTTCTTTGCTGATTTAATGGAATTAGCTTTGAAGCATACTTAAAAAATGTTAGGTAATCTGTTTAAGTACTAGCCTTCTCTGTAACTTGTTTACATATTGACTAAACTTAATAAAGAACTTTCATAAATGCTATGAAAACACAGTTTCTCGTTGTTTTTTGGCGTCACTATTTATTCTAAAGTTTGTAGATGTTATTTAATTAATACTTAAGGATTTTTAAAAGTTGAACCAAAACAAATGGCAAGATTGCCTTGCAACAAATCATGTAGGTATTGCTCAAATAACACTTAAAATTAAAAAAGAAATTGTAATTAGGCTAAGAACGTTAAGCTGGTTGTTTTTAAAACAATACCTACTTAAAAACTGATTGTTCTTTATCTGATACACATTATGCAGGTACCACAAAAATTGGTAAAGTGCAATAGAATCTCTATAATCTGGCACTTCACTACATTGGGACATCCAGTAATCCGGCGTTATTTTTTCCGTGTTTGTTATACAGTTATAGTTTAGTTGAAAGATTATTTTACAGAAACATGAAAACATTACAATATACATATATATGCATACACAACTGTAATATGTATGTATGTATCTATGTACCAATCTCTTTGTTAATAAACAGTTAAAAGTAACGTTTTTTAATTTAATACTGTTTACATATACATTTTCCATTAATCCGAATTTTCCAGTACTCCGGCACTCTTAGGTTTTTAATGGTGCCGGATTAGTGAGATTGTACTGTATATTCATAGATTTAAAGGATCGATAACTAGCATACTTAAAATCCAATTCTTATTTATTGGATACACATCGGATACTGGTATTATACTACAAAAATTAGTAAAGTATATTCATATAATTACAATAATGACAATCGGCATCACCTAGGATCAGTTACTGCCAGTAACAAAATTAAATTGTCAAAGGATTATACAACAAATGAGTTTATTGGAATGGTGAATTCCAGGGAAGAATAGCCAAAGAGACAGGTGCAGTGAGTAAATGAAAATCAAAGAAGGCATGTAATGGTTGTTAACGAATTTATAAAAATCTACAATACAATTCTTATTGAATATGAAATATTCACTAAAATGGAAAAGTTGAAGAAAAGGCTAAAGCTAAAAATTTTAATGAAAACCATATGGAATGGAATGCGAAGGAAGAGTGTTGTACCTCTACAGGCCGCTGCATATGACAAATTGTTCACTCCGAATGTAGATGGCAGAAAGTATTGTTTTGACATTCAGATATAAGTCCCTTGAAAATTGTGGCTGTATATTTCGTAGTAGCAAATTTAAATATTTTACTCATCATAAATCTAGAATCATCCGCTTTACTGGTAGGCATTTTGTTTTTTTTTATGCTTAGATGATTAATAAAGCTTAGGCGTTCCTTTAATAATAATTTTTTGTTTTAATTATAACCTAAAATTTTTTTTGTCAATAAATAAATTTACTTGCCTGTGCTTGTACCTTGGACCGTAACTATGGCCCTGTACCATGGACCGGTCCAAGGTACGGTACCCCTTTATCGTTAATAATAAATACCGATCATTTACTTTATAGAAATAACCGTTTTCTTCAAATTTTGCATTAACCATGCCACGCAGAAAAAAGGAAGTTAAAAGAACATCAGTAAATCAACATAATATTACATATGCCCTTAATAAAGTGTTAAATAAGGAAGTCTCTATTCGTGAAGCTTCTCGCACTTACGATGTTCCTAAAACAACACTGATCAGACACCTAAGCCAACATAAAAGATTGGAAGGCTATGCAGAATTTCAGTATCAAGCCAATAATAAAACGAAACTAGTTTTTTTGTTCGGAAAAGATAACAGCCTGACAGAATATTTGATTACAGCTGCCTATCTTCATTATGATTTAACAAAAATAGAAATTCAGTGCCTTGCCTACCAGTTTATTATAGCAAATAAAATTAAATTTCCACCATCGTGGGACCAACATAAAAAAAGAAAATATAAACATGTAATAAATATTAGAGAACTATTTCTTTACTTTTGTATTTTTGATTTTTTTTATATTATATGTTCTACGTTGTTTTATGTGTTTTAGTTTTATTTTTGACTGGACTAAGGTATACTAGTATTAGGTCCAAGGTACCAGACCAAGTTGTACCATGGTCCATTTTGTAGAAGGTTGAAAAAGGACAATTTTTCCAATTAATGTATATTTAAAAAAATTTTTGAATACATATAGTCAAAGTAGCAGATGTTTCAATTTTCATATCACAAGTTTTTAAGTTAATAAAGAAAAAAGTTATATTTGCTAATGTGAAAAGTGTCCCAAGGTACAACACTCTCCCCAATAGTTCATTAGTAAAATAAAAACAAGTCTAAGATTCTCGGACTTGTTAAAAATTAGAATGAGGAAATATGGTTAAAAGTGAAAGACACAATATCAATTGCAAACTGGTGTTAGACATATCATCCATTCTAAATGTTAGTGTACTGGATTTTATTCTTAATGACAAAGTGTCTACGAGTAGCTGAAAAAATTGTGATTCACATTGTTAAAACTGTTGAATTCACATTCATATAGTAAATATAAGAGATTTATTATTAACGTAGGTGATGATACTGATTTAAAACTGAATTAAATGAATCCACTTTTATACTTATTAATTGCGATTATGTTATTAAAAAATTATTTTAATGTATGTATTTTAATGTAAAATAAACAGGCATTTAATTATTCCGAAATAGAGTTCATTGGTCCAGAGCTCTTTTGTGGCACATCTCCCAGTATCGTCAGGGGTGCTCTGAGCAAATAGATTGACTCAGAACATAGAAAATACTGGGCTTCAAGGCCAGGCAAAGCCATGCGAAGGAACTTATGCAGTGTCCTTTGCAAAAAAGGACTAATAAGTTGCTGAGCTTGAATAAAATACGGCTCAGGAAAGTGATGGGACTTATAACTAGATACTATCATTTTAGAAAACATCTATACAAGCTAAGGCTTATAGACAGTCTGGCTTGCTGAGGATATGACTCAGTGGATGAAACTTCTCTGCATATCCTGGGCGAGTGTCCGGGATTTGCACTTACTAGAATGTTGGTCCTAGGAAAACCCTGGAACCCAAGGAGCTGAGAGAAGTGTCGACAAGGAAGCAAAACTACTTGCTGAACAGGATTGAACAGTGGGACGCACAATAGGTCTGATACAACCGCGGAGCTATGGGACTTGAATAGAACCAAACCAAAGGTGTACCAGACAATTCAGTGCTCAAAAAAAATTCATTTCGAACCACAAATAGAATAAAATTGCAAATATTATGCACATTAAACTAAAAAAATATTTCATTGTTCATATTATTAGCTTACCTCTTTTTGATACAGGTCTAGGTTCCCTGCTCACTAATGCAGGATATTTCTTTAGCTGATGAAGTTTCTTTAAATATATATTTTTTGTGGTAACCGTAATAGGACCTGGATTATACCCTCGAATTATCAACTCCTTCCTTAAGGTATCAGTGTCATAGTCTATCGTATCGGGCAGTGATGACATTTTTGAAGAAAACGAACTGGACTTAATACTTCCATTATATTCACTAAAATAAGACATTTTCTAAGCGAGTTAGAATAAAATAATAAATAAATGTAAGTGAATCATAACCATATATGAATACTAATTAATAACATCAAAATTCACAGCATATCATTTGAGTAATTAAAAAATTTGATTGAATATTTCGAGACTAAATATCTTTTTCAGATTTTGTGCAGCTGCTGTTGAAAAATTGATAATTTCTGACTACTAAAATTATAAAATACAATTATAGGAAGTTATATCTGGCGAATTATATCTAATCTATACATATTGATTCCTTATCAGAAAATAATTTTTCAAATTTTAAATATTCCACAGACAAAATATTTAGAAAAATTAAGATTTATATAAATACCTGTCTGATATGCACAATAAATCGAATTTAATACAGAGAATTTCGATAGAACTCATTGTGAATCAACAATAATTTATGTTAGACCTAGCACCTAACTGATTACAGTTTATTAGTAATTCATAAACAAATGATAAAATTTATTAAAATATTTCTAAGAATTGCAGTATACATTTTTTTTTTTTTTTTTGAGGTTGAAACTTGATGCACTTTTCTTCAAACATCGATAATTTAATTACACATTTTACTTATTTTTACTTTACTGAATGTTTTTAAATAGTTAAATGTATTTTATTAATAAATATATATAAAATATAAATATAAATATATATATAATACATGTATGTTTTTTGCTTCTTTAATTTTCTTCTATAGCCTATATAAATATTTACACACATACACACACACACACACACTAACAAATATAGATTATTAAGTTTGTTATTGTCGCACATATTACAGAGTTGTATTTGTCAATACGCATGCCTCACATATACAGGGTGTTCCACCTAAGAGGGATTCTTCTGTAACGCTGCAATTGTAAAATTTATAAAAAAAAATGGTTTTAATAAAAGTTGCCTGGAATCATGTGGGCCATGTAAAGAAAATATTTTTAGCTTTACAGGGTGTTCCTTTTCGTGTGGGCGCTACATAACTTTGTTATTTTAAATGGAACACCCTGTATATTATTATATTTTTGAATTCCTTGGTTAATATTAGGTAGAGTTTTACATGATATTTAAAACTTACCATTTTCGAGATAATCAGTTGTTTATGCTGATTATCTGACAATTAAAAACCACAATTTCAACTCACTAAATAAGGTTACATAGCGTCTAAACCGTAAGAGTTAGAAACCTGCAGTTTTCACAGTTTGTTTTGGCATAAATTAGTCTAGCTTATCATCTGTGAGCAAAACATGTACGTTTTTCAGACTCGGAAATACTGAGACCTACATTTAATAATCTTACGAGTTGAAAAACTTTTTTTTTCAAATGGAATGACCCATATTAATTGTCATGGGTGAATGCAAAATTGAATGCCCTTTCAACTGATATAGGGTTGTCCATACTTAACTTTAATAGTTTTCCAGAAAAATCATATCCTTTTCTAAAGTCCGAAAAGGTAACTGTGTGATAGCGTCAAGAAGGCCCGGCAAAACCACTTTTTTCTCACATTTTATCAGGCCTGGGATAGTATCAATATTTACTAGCATGTTTAAACAGTGGCTTGACAAACAAAAGTAAACCACTAACAACAACTAAACAAAACGCAAAACGAAACAAACTGAAACTCGGAACACAACAAGGAGAAGAATACTTAGACCGCCGATTTACATCAATTACTCGAGTGTCCTCCATTTTGATTAATACACAAACAAATTCGGTTTTTAAAACTGTTCAACATTGATCAGCATGTCTGGCGTAATTTCTTGAAATGATACTGTAATGCGCTGCCACATATCTTCCGCGGTAGTTGATGGTGTAACGTACACTTTGCTTTTTATAAATCCCCATAAAAAGAAATCACAACTTGTCATATCTGGACACATTGAACGCCAACTCACTAGTCCCTGTGCTCAATCCACCTATTGGGAAAAGTTTTGTGTAAAAACTGATGAACCGCAGCGGTATTGTGAGGTGGAGCACCATCATGTTGCCTCAACATTCTTCAAAGTATAGCTAAAGGAATGTCACCTAAAAGATCGTCTAGAGTCTAGAGCAGGGATCGGCAAATTATTTTAGGTGGAGTCCGGATACTTTTGAAAATTTTTAACGAGTTCCAGAAGAAGCTCATATTCCATACTAATTTTACAAATTTTTTATTTTAATTTGCACTCACAAAATAATATGAAATACAATACATATTTGTATTCAAAAATCAATGGAAGAAATTACATTTGCGGTCTTGAGCCAGTTTTTTTACTAACCTACTAACAATTAAAAAATGCTAAGGGTGGGTGGCACTACAGAAAAATATATTTTTAAATAATTTGAGTAATTATATTTTTTTTAAATTTTTGGCGGTCCAGTTTTTTACGTTCCACAGTCCGGATTTGAGAGTGTTTATTAAAAAGTTTAAATAAACTGATCCAGTTAGATGCTGGTCAAAAAAGAATGGTCCAATGATATGGATTCCCAAAATTGCTCCCCACACCTTTAAAAGACCATCGTTGGCTACGAGTTGTTCGGAATTGGTGAGGATTAACTGTGTCACAATAATGGCAATTATGACTACATATTAACAAAATTATTTTTATGAAAAGTAGCCTCATTGGAGAACATGATCCGTTTAAAAAAATCATCATCTTGATTTAACATCTCAAGTGCCCATTGACAAAACTCCAGTCTCTGCTGAAAGTC